GTTCGCCGGTAATACTCATATAACATAGATATTCTTGAAAACAGGGGTTCCCTGCAACAGGCAGCTGGGTGAATCTTGAGTAATAAGGTGGTGTGAAAACCTCGCCGGCCTCAGCGGGATTCGAACCGACTGCAGCAGGAGCAGTACAGCTAACGCTCCAAGCACCTGAGCCATGAGGCCCAGACCGAGATCTTGATCACATGTAGAGTTGCCCCTCCCCCTCAATAAAAAACATCGGCATCCCTTTTACCGTGTTTCATGAAATTCGCCATCTATGGCGCTTCGTTCGGCCTATAGTTAGTATCCTTTTCTTTTAAAAAGAAGAATGCAAAAGTAATGAAATGAGTTGTCGACGGGTAGGGGAAATCGTGATGACAGTTTCCGGTCCATTTCCTATCATCTTTCAGTCATGCTTGAGCTCTGGGCCCCGAAGACCTGAAACTTGAACCTATCTCGGTTAACGGACATTTGCGCCATGAGGTCACGTCCAACTGTCGCATGTGATTGGTGTTCCCTGGTTTATCATGCTTGGAGGACGAAAATGTGCATCTTCGTTTCACATTAAAGGGCTCGCGGACGACCCCATGCCTACGAGCAACCAGCAATCGGTGTGCTACTGGCAAGAAGCCGAAAAAATTACACAACGAGGTCACCCGCCCCCTTTAATATCCCTGGCGCCTAAGACCTGAGATTAAAACCTGGCTCGGTCGGACAACGGACGTTTGAGTCACGGACTGTCGTAGCACGACCATCGATCTATCCTGATAGAAAGAAGAGATTGCTCATACGCGTCTAGCATTGAGGCCGAGTGTAAAGCCCTTGCAGGCGGTCCCACAACGACGAGCCATCAGTAAGCGTTGCTAGCGGCAAGGGCCTGTGCAGATGACAAGGGTGAAACGCCTGCATCCTGTTCCAAAATCAGAACTAATCGTCAAATGTTAATGGTGTGACACATATGGCCTATTACAGCTAGGTGGGGGGTGAACCTATAGCCATTATGATGCGGTGCTAAGCTCAAGGGGGATTTGGATAAGGCTTCTAATCGCATGTGTTGCTTGCCCGAGGTTCGGGTATGACCGAAAAATGATTCTGAGTATTTTAGAAGAGTTATTTCGGTCACTTGTGTCCGCCGGTGATACTCGTCGAACGTAAATATTGTTGAAAGCAGGGGGTTCCCTGCAACAGGCAGCTGGGATTCGGACCGACTGCAGCAGAGGCAGGGTTTGAGTACAGCCAACTCTCCAAGCACCTGAGCCACGGGACCCAGACCTAGAGCTGGATCACATTTGGATAAAATCCCCCGCGCGTCCTAAGGTAACGAATGGAGTCCACTAATTCTGATACAGAAAGCTGACTGCTCAAACAGGACTTCCTGAGCAAGTAGTCCAGAGCCCACTAGATGACTACCAGGCCCACTTCATCAATATGCGTTTTTGGCAGGTTTGAATAATCCCTCTGGCTCACTTCGAATCCAACAGAGGTTATAGAGCTCTTCACAAAAGGGCCAGTTGAATTATTCAAATCCTGGGTAGCTTACGCAATCTGAAACAGTCGCGTCGCGATGTGTGTAAGAACAAAGGGAGATGTATTAGTGCTTGTACTCGGCTAAAGGCATTGGCATGGATTACAAACTCTCGTCGCCTCGAGATAACCGGTTCGGATTCAAATCCCAAGCCGTCCTGACATGACTGCCCGATGCTTTGAAACCATTCAGAACTGACTGCTTGTCTCGCCATTTTTTCAGGTGCCGACCATTATAACCTCTTGTCAGTTAGGGTCAGAGTACGGATAACAAATGCCGGTCATGCCGAGAGTGCTCCATCCTAAAATCCCGCCAAATTGGTGGGTTCGGGATCACCTGTAAGCCTTTTTGTCGCATCCTCCAGGTCAAATACCTCCTGGCCCACTTTTCTTCCGAACTCAACTTCTTTACATGAGTAATTTGTTTATGCGTCGCAGAGCAACTCAAAAACCGCAGATAAAATTAAAGCTAAAAGCACAATCCCGTCTGCAACGGCACTTAACTGGGAAAGCAACATCACCGGTGAAAGGATACACCTTTCAAAGCTCCGCTTGTCGAAGGCTCGCCAAGGCTCAGCGGTCATCCAATGGTTATAAAGGCAAGTAAGCTCAACAACGAGTTGTCAGCTGCCCTAGTACATTTGTTGCAGTTTGTTCCCCGCGTAATTCTACCCCCTGGGAACTCTCCCACCCTGTGAAGGTGTCTTCATTCGCATTTTCGCAATGGCAGCGGCATTTAAAAAAACAGAATCTGTGGCTTGGTCGAATCCTGTTTGCCCAAAATCGCTCTTTTGTGTATAGAAGAAACTTCGCCTTTTGTCGTCATTACTCTTAGCACCAAAACTAGCCGCAAGTATCGTTCTGATACCTTGTGACCTGGGGGTTCGTCCCCCTTGACACACAGATAGTAACCAATTAACAACAGGCCGGGGGGGGTGGCGATTAGTTAGTACACACGGAGATATGCAGGGAAGCATATTAGTGAAGACCGTCTAAGATCCCGTTGACAGAGATATGCAGCTGACATCGAGCGGCGGCCGCGTCGGCGTACTCTTCCGGCCGGGGCGGACGAGCCTGCCTTAATCTGTTAAACGACGGTCATACATGACCCGTACAGACAGGGCAATTCTCAGTTCATGATCTGCTGATAGACACGAGAAATGATTAAATCGACGACAAGAAGGACAGCCTGTCAGCGGGATCGCCGTCTGCGATACGCTCAACGGTGTACATCATCGCAGCGGGCGTTTTCGTTCGGTAACTCGGACAATGGTGCCTCATAACCACCTAAGACCTCCGTTCTGGCATACCCGTCACCCCAAGACGTGATTAACGACCTAAGATGCACGAGGCATGCACCTACTCAGTCCCAATCCATAGGCGTCTACAAATCCAAAAAACACTTAGATAAACCACCATGGTGTGGCCAACCCCCATTAGAGATGTATACCTAGTTACCCGCGCTCGTTTTCGCCTGGTTCAGATACGCGTGTGCAGTCCTGGGACCTGCCGCACGCACGGGCGCTCAACTTGTAATCAGGTCTCCTGCACAGAATAAGGGTCTGTTGGTGCATTTTCCTTTCTCGTAAACGAGACCGATGCCCTTAACTGTGGTGGTTAGCGTAGGCTCGGTATCTTAACCGCCACAACGCAAAATCCCGACTGTCATACACTTTGGCTTTGAGGATTTTATCTCTTTCTCATCATGTGTGCTTGAGATGACTAAGGCTTTTATCGAAATCATCGTAGCATATTCTAAGAACACTGAGTCCGTCACTAATCATCGTAATTCAAACTCCCCCATAGCCTAAGCTTGGAAAAGTTGCTAGCCCCGCGGTTGACCGGCGTCCAACTGTCGATTCACGACTCCGTATGACAATACAGACTCTACCCACAAAGGACCCTCGCAACGCCCAGAGGATTCTGACCGAAGACAAGCTGGCTTAAGTCGAAAAGCTACTAAGTTCATCAGGGTGTAATTACACAGATATCCAAAATATACGAAAGGCAGGGATGCTCGTCTTCCGTGGCCGCGAGAACTCAATTCTATTTAAGGGTTTTAAGGGGCACCTATAGCAGAAGGTATTAATATCGTAATATGCGTTGTCCAACGACAGCGAATAAGTTGCAAACGACTTTCTACTCCTAACTCTGCGCGCAGGGGCTACCAGACAACTGGAGGGGACAGTTTTCTGTCCTACAACTAATCACCGTCCCTCCGCCAAGAGCACGACTTCTAGTAAGAGGGCAGTGAAGAATTGCGATGATTGTGTCGCGCATCCCGCCGGTCAGCGTCCCGCAACACCATCTTCTTCAGAACGAGCCCGCACTGGCATAGACACCTTGTTGGCCAATTAGATCGCCGTCTAGCCGGGAGATACTGTGACGTATTCGGCGTACAACGGGGCGGTGGTTGGCGAATGTCTGGGACAGGCCTTGATGGCGTAGCATGGACAGCACCGGCGTTACTCCCGTGCAAGTAGTGGGTGAGGGACACAGGAGTCTTCACGAAGTTCAGGACGACATAGTCAAACATTCGTGTTGCGACGGGCCATATAGGGTACCAAGAAGCCTGGATACCTCATTCGTAATCTGCCTGTAAACACACTGATTTTGCAAGTTCGATTAAGATAGCATGTCAGTCCCCACACAATAATTAGATAGAGTGCGATCCAGGGCGTAGACTTCAAAAGTGGAGGACTAGAGAAGTAACATAAAAACTGTTCAATCATGTATTGCCCCTAATTATGCCGGGTAGGAGCTACCGTGGATGGTACCCATCAGTCCTATGTAGACGGTTGAGCAAGTTATATCAATGGCGGGCACACTAGGCAATTGGCGACTCAGGACCGTGAGCAAAAGGCTCTGTAGGAACACATGATTTAAACATGATTGACAACGGAGTTGGGGGGTGCGCGATTTCTTCCATTATTTAATAATATTAATAGACCGGAGAGAGTAGGCATGTTGTTCCAGAAGTTCCACAACCTGCCTTCGGTTATAATATTAGTATGAAGTATGCAAACGGGTATTTTTATAGCAGTTATAACATTCCTAGAGACATCCCAAAGTGCCCTGAGAAGGGGCAGGCCTAGGAAACGCCAGACTCGCCCTAGATTTGTCGAGAAAATGAACTAGCGGACGTAGCGCCACCCGTAATCCAGTTGCCTCGCCAATCTAAAGATCAGAATGTGTTCTTACGACAAAAGGCGGCTCAGGCAAATGTTAAGTGAGATGAACGTTTTTATTTGGTTTGCAATCAAATATCCAAAAACATAATAAACACCCTCTGACGTCCATCCAAAACTTTTGGGAAGTAGAAGGGGAATGAAGAGATCTCCAAGAGCGATAAGTAAAAAGATTTGAAAGATTTAACCCCACAGGCAGGTAAAAGAGAACAGGAGGCTCTGTGGATCTTGGTAGCAGATCAGCAACGAGGATACGCGGTACAGAAATGCCGAAGTCAACTGGAAATGTGGTCAGATGGCCAAACCGAAAACGGTCACGATGAAGTACATGGATTTGTTTTCCCATCTCACTGTGCAACTTCCTGCATTTTTTGAAGAAATTAAAGATAAAATGTACGTACCTGACCATAGAGCAAAGGAAAAAGAGGGGAAAAGATGTTTTGTGAGGAAATCAAGGACACGATGGCTCCCAACGGAAATTTGAGACCTTACTACTAGTCTATTGTCAAGATAAGGGCTCAAAAGCAGCCAGCTGAAGTGCTAATAATTACAACCCTACAGTATAAGCTTGTAATTTGGACAGTGGCATGAACCTACGTTTGTGCAAATCAAGGCGGCAAACTGCAGACAAAAAGGAACTTTTGTCTGAAATTTAGGTGTACTCTGTCCTAGCGGGCATACAAAATGTGCTGGTCTCGTCTGCAAGACGGCAAACTCAAGACGAAAAGAGGCTTAAGTCTGAAATTTGGGTGTAGTTCGTTTCAGCAGGCATACAAAGTGCTTATAAGCACTTTGGATAAGGGATACCTTATCCAATTTAGCACGTTCCGCCTTATCCCAGATTCCCAGACCTAGAGAAGCGAGGGTGTGGGACACCGTCGAAGGCTCTCTAGAAATCGATATAAAGGAAATCTGCAAGCGTCTATCGATCTGAGTAAGGCTCTCTACGTGACTGCTTTTCCCCAAGACCCGCATCGAAAACTACAAACGGCTGAGCCGTTTTCTACCCAACTTCATACTTGGCGACTTATCTATCCAAACAATTGGCTGAGGATATCCAGCAATATTCTAGAAAGGATTGAAAACCTGGAAGACCACCAATGATGACCACTCAGTTAGAAAAAAGCACGCTCACAGCAGTAGCCCATACTATGCTATAGTATGGCTATAACGATTCGAAAAGTCGGTCGGGGACTCATAATTTACTAACCCAATGTCATGAGAAACTGCTAACATATGAAAAGATATCCCAAAAAACAAAACGCATTTGAGCGTACCATCAGTGGTATTATCCCAGTAGCATGAGCTCGCAGTGTGCAAACCAGCACCGCATTTTTGCATTATGACGCAAGTCACTAAGATATAATTGAGTAAGATGACTTGAGTGTTACCAATATATTTGAAAGGTTTTCCAAGCTTGGTAAGTTGGTTGAGAACTTGCTCAATAATCGTTGAGGTCCACTGGTTAACCTTACTGTGAACGTAAGTGCTAGAGCCGACAGTATTTTCAATATTCTAAAGGTAGCTGACTGAAAAAGCTAACCAACCTCCTTTACAATATTAGCCACTTCATCAACGATAAATGTTGTCTAAAAATTAATAGAAAAAGCCTCTGACAAACCTCTTCAGAGGTCTCTAATCCGTCCATGTCCACTTGGCGAAGTTGCTATTGGCGATATTTTCGAAAATCCCGCCGAGAGTAGAGCAGTTTACAAAGAGTCTAAGGCCTAGATGGAAGTGAAGTAAGCGATGACTCATTTATTCGAAAATTTCTGTGCACCTTTGCTATAAGAATATAAAAGGGTTAAAACGCCAACGAAAAATATTACGTAGGAGTACAAATTTGCCCCCGTCCTACAGATATCTTGTTTGAGAACGTTAAATAAATAAACAATTTTATTATATTTTATTGGGGTCCACAGTCATGTTATTGTATCCCCATTTTCAAAAGTTTACTGACCGAACTCCAAAAGAAGATTTTCGAGTATTTATCCAGCACGATATTGTTGAAATAGGCAGCTTGGCCTTTTTATATCATACAATCTATTATGCGAACACATCCCCAATTTGACTTAAGGTACTCTTCTACTTTCTTGGGCTTTTACGCATCATGTGGAAGTTAAATTGTTCCGCTACACCTCCTTCCTGATCTGGGAATTTCTGTTTTTCGGAAGTGGTAATCACCCAGCAGCTTCAATGTTCGGTCACAAGTAAAACACTTGGGGGTCTTTTAAATTAGAATTCATCATACTTACTAAAATGAGTAACAAACGCCAAGACTTAAAATATTTTGGGAGTCCTTTAAGTCTTTGTCCTATATAGCTGCTTCTGTTCACAGTTCGAAGTGTGTAAATCAGGAATTGTGCGTGAGAACTGGCTTCAAGGGGTGCTTTCGGGATCAAAAATTTGCGTAGAAAAGATTCCGTGCGCCTTTCCAGGCCTATGAAGGATACGACGGTCACTATTGACTTGGAGATCAGAGTGCAAATTGATTGAGGCAAAGACTGTTTAACCCTATTATATACAGTGATAGAGAGTACAGTCCCACAAGGCTGCGTGCTCGGTCCGACCCTCTGTCTCTTGTTTATTGATAATTGTGATGAGGAGTTGGATTGTAATTGTACCATGTTTGCAGGTGATTTTAAACGTTGGAAAGGCACCCAGAATGCTGCTGACGAAACAAACTTTCAAGAAAATTCTCGTCGATTGGACGAGTGATCCCGCAGATGGTTCCTCACCTCCAGTTTGAATAAATGCACCATACTGCGTCTAGAAAATCGAAATCAGATCCATAATACGCGGCAATAATATTTGAACTGGTGGCTACTCCGAGAATCGGAAACTCAGAAGGATGTCGGAGTTTGAGTTTCAGACACTTTGCAGCCTGCTACGCAAAGCCGTAAGGCAGCTGAAACCTCAACCTCAATGCTGTACTCCATCAGTCGGGCATTCGCAGTCCTCGATCAAAAATGCATATCCAAATTCTTTTTCACGTTTGCACGGCCGCAGTTGGAATATACAGTCCAGGCCTGGTGATCCTGGACGCAACAGAATTGCAATCTGCTCGAAAGGATGAAGAGGCGAGTTACAAGCCTAGTAAGAGGTCAGAGGCCTTATAAGATCCGCCTAAATAACCGCAATCTCTATCCTCTGATTTATAGGCAGTTGTGCGGAGACCTGATACAAACGTTCCGTATCGTGCGTAACTAGGCTTGCGCCCTCAGGTGTGACGACTTTTCAACTTGCCATGATACATAGTCTCCAGCGAATCCCTTTAATCCATGTGTTCCCCGAAGGAAGATTAGATGTGAGAAAGTATTTTTTTCTCCAACCGTATCGTGAAACCGTGACATAAACTGTCCGGGGGGATTGTAATGTCTCCGCCTTGGAGACATTTAAATATCGTTTGGACATTTATTGCACCAGCAAGCAGACTATGTAACTTTGTAACCATAAAACCCGTAAAATATGTGAATCGTTGTCCACTTTTACTTGATGCTGTAATTTCTTCACACTATTGCTAATTTTCTCAATTTTTATGTACAAGTAGGGAGTTCAAACGCGTTAGCTTATTATCCTCAAATACACTGACACTGACTGACTAACTGAAGACATCCAGGGCGGCCAATAATTAAAAAAGCAACCATCCTCGCCGCACTGTTTTGCCTTTGACTGAAAGGCTCAGTATCTTGTTTGGTGCACGGCAGTTAGTCTGAATTTTCTTACGCCAGTTTAAATTGTACTATGGCACTGCGTGTTCAAATGAAGGATTTAGCAGGAAAAGTTTTGATTCTGCTTCCAGTGATTTGTCGGGTTTTTGTCGTATCGCATGACTCCCCCTCATATTCTACTCAAACAAGGATTTTGTCTTTCATTTCGCTTAGTCGTCGTCAGAGTCGCTAGACTATTATGCAGTACTAAGTCTCTAAAGAGAGTTTAGGGCACTTGGTAACTCGAGGGGCAAGCATTCAGGCGTACTGCTATTTGGAAAGCTATTACCCGAAAAATCATAGTGACTGTTTTAAAATGGTTGCAAATCTTGACTTGTGAACATTTTCGAATTTAGTTAATGTATTTGTGACCCTAGAACTGTGTTCATTTGTCACGCCCGACGAACTCGATTTGGTTGTTCGAATGGCATGAAAGCACCAGGATGGAGACGGTCTAACCGCGTGTCAGCGAAAATATCCGGGGTCCTGGCGCAGCTAACGTAACTCTGATCTCGTTTCACGTCGGCAACTCTCACCGCCCTCATTTGGTGTTGCCCTAGCGCTGCAATCCCCACCAGGTGCCCAATGGACATGTTGGCACAACCATCTCATCTTGACGGATCGTCCACTCATTGTAAATCATCTTCCTCTGTATCATTTATCATTTTCCTCAATGCCTGCATACATGTCTATCTCTTATTACTTCTTTCTTAATGAGAAATGTGCGCGGCCTACTACATTGCTCAGTATTTTAAGTCAGGTGTTGTCTTCAGCGCTCTAAGTTACGCCAGGTGTGCTACCATTAACGTTTTTGGCGGTTAAAATATAAACCGGTTTATCGTTTTGTTCGAAACACGGATTTAAAACTTCATCTCAGTTTCCAGAATTCATTTCCAGCAACTCATACAATCGAAATAGTGTAATAAACTACCTATCTGTCACAAAAGCAGCTCTGACAATATTTGATATAATAGATTAATTATTGGCGACGAAACAACAGAATTCGCCAGTATTACTGATCGCCACAAATCATGTGTCGTCACACAGAGTCAAATAATACAGGTCCAAAAGTAGACACAAAACGTTATCCCACTGCTAATTTAGTGCTCCAAGTTATTTAAAAAAACCCTTTATGTTTTTCATTTGCACACACGACCCGTCAAAAATATAAATACTAAAATTCATTTGGCAAACATACGACATAGGCAATTCATTATCAGGCCATAAATTTATATGGAGAATGAACTAGTGAGCTATGGGCAGGGTTCTCCTCAAGGATAGCAAATTGCATCTCGTTATGGTTAGAGCATGCTGCGCGCATTCATAATTGATGGTCATTATCGACTTCGGAAATTCCGAGCGTCTAAGGAGAGCATATGAAATTCTGTCGAGACAACCTTCCTTCTCACTTACAGCAGCGCCTAACTGAAGCGTTTGCCTACGTTTCTGACTTCGAAGTACAGCAGAATAAGAACGTTTTAGACAAAAAATGAATGGCCATTCCTCGGCAGGCTTGCTAACACCAGAATTGTTCGACGAAGGTAGTAAATCTGTCATCGAGGACCCTTACGATAGACGAAGAGAATGGGCTTTCTAAGGGGATGAAATGCAGCCTCTCCGATGCACACTACCTGGATTTTCTTGCGAAGTTCTGGTACATCATATCATCAGAGAATCTTATGGGAGATGAACGTTTTACAATTAGGAGTTACACTGCAGATGCCTTAGAGGACCGAAATTATCTTTCGGTTCTATCGCACGAAGAAAAAGGACATTAAAGACCTTAAAATGGATGAAAGCATTATCATCCTTCCGGCAGACAAATGCGGTTCAACTGTCATTTTGGACAGAGAACACTATAATAAAAAGGGTGCTGTCATTGTTAAAGGGTAGATTATATTACCATAGACCCTTCCAATGCGCAAATGTCACCTATCGATAAAGTGCTAAAACGTCTTACGGGGAAGAAGCAAATATCAGTGGATATTGCCAAATCCCTGAAAAATACTGAGTCCACCGTCGCTAAGATTTATGGGCTGCCTAAAATTCACAAACAAAAGTACCACTGCAAATGATGGTGTCATTAAACGGTGCACCCAATTACCAGATCTGCGAATGGCTATTCCACAAATTCCATCCTTTGACACAAGATTGTGAAGCTTCAGTTGACAATAAATTGAGTTTGTAAACAAGCTACAAGGTCTCAAAATTGTAGCTGATGAGATAATGGTATATTTCGATGTCGTTTCTCTCTTCACGTCCATACCGCCGGATTTGGCAAGGAAATGCACAGAAGAACGCCTCCAGTCCTACAGCATGGACGTCCATTTATCTGCCGTGCTTGAACTCTTGGACTTTTGTCAGGAAATGAAATTCTCATTTGCACATGAATACTATCAACAGATAAAGGGTGCTCCCATGGGATCACCTATTTCCAGTTTTCTTGCTGTAATTACTGTGCAAAAATTGGAAGCTATGGCCCTAAAATTAGTTAATCCCAAATGATGGGTGCGGTATGTAGATGACACTTTTGTTTTTCTGAAAAGGAGCTATCTGGAAATGCTCCACAATCTTATTAACTCGACGCTACCAAGAATCTCGTTCCCGCTCGGAAAAGGGGTTGACAGCAAACTCCCTTTCCTTAACGTTCTCGTACAGTGAATGACTGACTGAATATTTCACACATCAGTTTACCGCAAAGAAACTTATGTGGGCGTTGTTCTGCACTACGATAGCAATCATCCTATTGTTCGCAAACGGAGTGCTGTTACCAGCCTACTGAATCGAGCAAAAACGCACAGCTAATAGACAGAACTAAATTATTTGTTCAGGCTCTTTTCCCGAAATGGGTGTCCCAAAGACTTTGTATGCCGGTGTATGAGGGAACAAAAATTAAAAGAGAAAGACAACGAACTCGTTTGTTCCGTTCAAGCGCCCA